AACACTGACTTTGTACTGTACAAAATCAGTGGTTCTTGCGCAAATAATCCGACGCTCCCGCTCAGGGATAAGCCGTCTTGTGCAAGTATTCTTGCGCAAGAGGGCCAGTGTGGACAGTCAAGTTAATTTCTTGCGCAAGAAAGCCCGATGGCTAAAATGGCCATCGGCGCTTTCTTGTGCAAGAGAGCGTCTACACTGGCACGGATGCTTTTGCACAAAAGCAAATCTTTTGCGCAACGGCACATGCCAGTATAGACGCTTTCTTGCGTAAATACTTTTAACGGAAACACTTTTCCGTTAAAAGTATTTATGCAAAATCATGCCAGTCTAGATGCACCCTAAGAAGATTAACAAACTGAAACAACTATTACACTTTTGTTCTTATCCAAAATGTTGCAGAGCTAGCACATGGATATTTCAGTATGTACTCTGAAAATGTCACCAGATCCAGGCTCCAGATCCAAAGGTGACCCTACACAGCACATTACTTCTGTGTCAGCTTACTACACTGTAATACATGGGGCTGTTTATATATGCTTCATGTGACTTACCCTTAAGACCATCTGGAACAATGTTTCTTAAACTTTTTAAGACCAAGGAATACCAAACAATTTTTTTTATGAGGAACACCAAGGATATTTTAAAAAAAAGGGTGGGTGGGAGGGGAAGTAACTGAGCCAAAAAAAGTTGCCTGTCCCTTTAAGAGACACTGATCTGGAAAATGCATCTAGTACAGAATTTGATTGCTTACTATGTAGATTTGAACATAGATGGCAACCTACATTTATGTACAACCATCAGCACCACATAATATTTTTGAATTTTTAAAAAATACTTTCAGAGTTGAGCTTTGCACAAGTTCCAGACTATTTTGTGGGTGTCTCGGGCAGCCACAATTAGTTGAACCCTTCAACTTCACATTGACAAAGATACGGCTGACTACAGTGTGATTCACATTCAGAAAGTCTGCAATCCTTGTACTAAGAAAACACATAGGAAAAACATTTTTGGTGAATTCTACTACTTGAGATCCATATGTAGATCCAACAAGACCACATATTGTGAGCTTGAAAAATGGCAGGCATATTTCTGTGAATGAGCACACTGATATGAGTACCATTTAGGGTTGTCTTGCTACCTTTCTGATTCCTGGTAATCAGACTCTGACTACATGCACTCCTCACCTCCTTGTTGCCTCTGTAATGGGGAGGGGGAAGAAGTAGCAACACAGGGGAGGGACAGGTGGGAGCCAGCATGTGCAGGGAGCTGGCTTTTAAACCAGTTTTCTGTGCATGCTGGTTCGGTCTAGCTAACTGCCTCCCCCTCTTACTGCATCCCACAGCACCTCTCCATGAGCCCTGGCTCCCCCCTGCATGTAAACATGTAACAGTTAAAATTTTAAGTGGTTATACATTTACACAAATACACAATAGTTAACATCCCTAAAACTAACCCTACTTTTTCCCATCTCAGGGTGCATCTACACAGCAGCGTTATTTCAGAATAATACTCGTTATTCCGAAATAACAGTGCTTGCATCTACAGTGGAATTCTGTTATTTCAAAATAATGGACAGCTTCTGTAAACCTCATTCCATGGGAAATAATGTATAATCAGAAATAATAGGTATTTCAGAATAACAGTAGCGTGGATGCTCCACTGCTGCTATTTCAAAATAGCTCCTCCCCAGAGCCATTCAAAATAATTACTCCCCAGTGTCTGCTGGGGCTCTAAATCAACGTAGCGTGTCCACATTAGGGAAGCCTGCCTGAGACTAATTTTGAGGCTTCCCTGTAGTGTAGACGTGTTATTTCAAAGTGAGCTATTTTGGAGTATTTCTTTTGGAATAGTTTATTTCAAAATAAGCGCACAGTGTAGATGTACCCTAGGTTCTTATTTACTTCAGACCCTGGAACGGCTAGGAAATGGTACTTTCTCAATCAGCAAGAGATCCTCAGAGATGAGTTTAGGCACAATAGGCTACAGTGGCTTCTGCCACTGAGGAAAATATCTTAACCTTTATGGGCCCAATACATATTTCCTTCTATTTGTACATTTCCAGGACATAAATCAGCAGCAGCTACTCATTGTTAAATCTTCAGAATATGTTGTCTATGTTTTATCAACAGTATTCCTTACAGATATGTATTTATTCAATTAACTAAAGATAATTGCTTTACCATAAAAAGCAATATCAGAACACACAACTGTAAAATATATTCTTAAACATAAAATTGTTACAACTAAAATATGACATTTTGACAAAGAGGCTACGTCTACACTGGCCCCTTTTCCGGAAGGGGCATGTAAATTTCACCAGTCGTCGTAGGGAAATCCGCGGGGGATTTAAATATCCCCCGCGGCATTTAAATAAAAATGTCCGCCGCTTTTTTCCGGCTTTTAGAAAAGCCGGAAAAGAACATCTACACTGGCCCCGATCCTCCGGAAAAAGTGCCCTTTTCCGGAGGGTCTTATTCAAAGTAGGAATAAGACTTACTTCAAAGTAGGAATAAGACCCTCCGGAAAAGGGCACTTTTTCCGGAGGATCGGGGCCAGTGTAGATGTTCTTTTCCGGCTTTTTTAAAAGCCGGAAAAAAGCGGTGGACATTTTTATTTAAATGCCGCGGGGGATATTTAAATCCCCCGTGGATTTCCCTACGACGACTGGTGAAATTTACATGCCCCTTCCGGAAAAGGGGCCAGTGTAGACGAGCCCAGATTGTTTAGAAAGTATTGTAAGCTGTATTCCTAAAACACGTTCCATTTTCAAATTTAATAAAGTCAAGCAGACAAAAGTATTATTACATTTATTTTATCTGAAAATATATATAATCAAAGCTTGCACTATTTGGAAGCAACTTAGAAATATTTTGGATGAGAAGTTGGGGGGGAGAATTTATTTAATCCTTATTAAACTCAAACTACTGAGACAGACTTGGGAAATGGCTTGCATACTCACATCTCTACTGGAGAGAAACTTTTTAAACAATTCTATCAAAATATCTATTTTAGCAAATAGGTTAGCTGGTCAAAAGATAAACATCATAATCTGAAAATGTTGAAATATTTAATTAATACTAATACAGCTTATTACAGTGTTTGATACCTACAATCATTTTATATTAAAATTTGCTAAAAATTCCAAACCACTTGGCATTGGCCTAGATCACAGTTTTATTGCAAACATATTGCATTAAACAAAAAATTCTTAATAACAGAGACTTGTCAGTTTTTGCTACAGGCCAATAAATTATACTATCTGCTGTCCTGAACTGTGCGTCAGGTTAAAGAATAAAAACAATTTTGGTCTGTCTCACTCATCAGTGTTTCCAAGTAGGCCCTCCTAATTATTCATTTGTATGTCATAAGTTATTTTGCTATTACAGGCAGTCCCCGGGTTACATACAAGATAGGGACTGTAGGTTTGTTCTTAAGTTGAATCTGTATGTAAGTCAGAACTGGCATCCAGATTCAGCCGCTGCTGAAACTGATCAGTTTCAACAGC